TGTGGTGAAGCCAATAAAAGCCCTAAAGATAGAGGCTCAGTGGGAAGTCCTGGGTTGGGTGGGTTGCCCCCTCCCCCACCAGCAGGTGGCTAAGTGCATCCCCTGGGAACATTTGTTTCCCCTTTCCTCACACTGGACCAAAAGACTGTGATAAATGGGGAAAATACCAACATTGTCAAGGATTTCACTTTACTTGGATCCTCCACACTCATGGAAGCAGCAGTCAAGAAAGCACATGATGCAAATGACTGCATGGGGCCAATCTGCTTGCTGCACAGGAGCGCGGAAGAACAAGGTGGTCACCTGGCGGACTCAGGCACGTCTGGCAGAAGCCATGGCGTGTTCAGCCACCTCATATTCATGAGAGTTGCACAGTGACTCAGGAAGTCTGCGGAGGAACGGATGCATTTGAATGATGGTGTTAGTAAAGAATGTCGACGATAGGATGGGCTGCCAGAACTAACAAACTTGTCTTGGAAAGAGTACAGCAGGAATGCTCCTCAGAAGCTAGCACGGCAAGACTTCATCTCACATACTTTGGACATGTTGTCAGGAGAGACTAGTCCCTGGAAAAAATACCATGGTTGGCAGCGCAAAAGAGGAAGCCACTCAAGGAGATGGACGGACAACCGTGGCTGCAACAAGCGTGCGGATGGCGCGGGACGAGGCAGTGCTTTCTTCTCCTGTATGCGGGGTTGCTATCGGTCAGAAACGACACTATGGCACCAAGAGCGACGAGTCGGAACTGCCTCGATGGCAGTGGGTTTTCGGTTAGGTAAGTGAACGATGCAAAAGCCCCTTGAGACAACTCTTCGAGAGGGCTCCGAGCGCTCCGTGTGCTGGGCCGCACGCGGCCACCAGGGGCCGCTGGAAGCACCAGTCTCGCGGTTTCCGGGTGCCGTGCGTGCGCGTGCTCACTGGAGTTGCCCAGGCGCTCAGCTGCTCTCCCCGGAGGTGGCTACCTCAGACGAAGCCTGCCCGTGCTTGGGCACGGGGACGCTTTGCGGGGAATAAGCCCGCTTTTCACCTGTTTTGCACTAATTTCCTCCTTGGGCAAGTCTGAGCGGCAAGGATTAGTGTCTCCATTCGCCAACCCCCCGGGAAGCCCGAGGCCGCGCTGAGCTCCGCCGGGGGCTCGGGCTGCCGGGCCTGGGCCAGGCGAGACGCCCCGCCGTCTGGATGCTGCGCTGGCTGATCGGGGGAGGCCGCGAACCTCAGGGGCTGGCCGAGGTAAACCCGCGGGAGGACCGCCCGCACGGCCGC